TGATTGTACCAGCAGGATGTTGTCGTAGAACCTTTTTATTTCACTTTTTTATAAGAAAACTTACCTTGCAAGTGGTAAACCCCAGTTTGTGGGCCTCTCTATGAGTTGTGGACCTCGAAATTCTCCTTCCAACAGCGTCAGTCCACAGAGCACTTAATTGTAAATAATTGGCCTGTTTTTCACGATTATTTTTCTTAATGTTCTTCGGTCGGCATTTGTGATATTACTTTTTTTCACATATCGTGGCTTAATATTAACTGAACCAGTTACGTTATATCTTCTAACAATATTTCTCACGCTTTACCGCGATAAGTCTAACAAAGTTGCAATTTCTGAGTTTGATTTCCCAGAATTAAAAAAATTAATTATCAGTAACCGAATTTTCTCACTAATAACCTTTCCTCTACCCATTTTGAAAACCTTAACTACCCAAAACTATTTTAAACGTATTCTGATAGCTGTGATTAATAAAAACAATTGTCATGGCTTTTATTTTTCACAGCCACCTATGCGTTATAAACTTATTTTGCATTGAAATGAAAATAGGTTGATATGCTGTAATTGCAACATGTGTTATTTTTATGCTGCAAATTTGATTAGGGAGTGATAAAGTTGGTGTTTTCTACTATATATTATCAAAATATTCATTGTTAATATTTTAAACCTATAACACCCAGCGACATTTTTATTATTTGTGTTGGATAAGAAAAAACTAAGATTTCAATAGTTGGGTCAACTGAAGTGGGAAGCGGCTCGTACTATGTGGCAGCGGAGATAGGACACGACCAGTCATAAGCTTGGACTAGAAGACTGATTCCAGACATCAAGGCCTGGATTAAAAGGGGAGCAGTGCAGATAGATTAGTATATTGCACAGAATTGCTACTTTGAAGCTACCTAAAGCGAACTGCACGAATTAACCTGTTAAGGAGGATACTCCTGCCAATCTAATCTAAGAATACAACTGGGACTAATGCTCGGCGAGAGGCTCACTGCTGCATGCTGTCCAAGGAAAATGGGCTGAATTGCAACCACTGGTTAGACGAATGATGCTGAGCAAGGTATGTGATGACAAAAGCAGACAAGCAAACCAATAATATGTTCCCTGTCTGGGTGTTTACATACAAGCGTATGTATGTACGGGGATAGTCGGTTGAGACGAATACCTTTGGCATGAACCTCAGCGCGATGCTGCAATACGCTGCCGTGGTGGGATGCATGGCGAACGATTGAGGGGGTTTTAGTGAGTATGCCGTTTGCCGTTTTTGGAGAATCCCACACTTTGCCTGAAGGTGAAAAGCTTTCCCCAGTCTGAAAAAAAAATGTAGTATGTAACATTTATTCTCTGACGTTGACAATTTGATATTAAATATACTAAGTGACATATAAATCCGAACACCCAGTTTAAATGGCTTTATTTTAATAAAATTTTGTATAAGTACTTAATGAAGCATAATAAGTGCTTCTAGAGTCTGAGGAGGACGTTGCAAATTGAGCAATCTCCTACCCATCATATCCCACACGTGCTCAATTGAGGATAAGTCGGGAGATCTTGGTGGCCATGGTAACAATGTGACATCATTATGTTGAAAGAAGTCTATTGTGACTCTTGCAACATGTGGTCGGGCATTATTTTGTTGGAAAGTTGGATCTGCCAGGGTGTCAAGATAGGGTAAAAGATGGGGTTCTAGAACTTCGTGGATATAACGCTGCGCGTTCATCTTACCTCTGATGAAGATTAAAGGTGACCTGGAACCATAAGCTATAGCACCCCAAACCATAACTCCAACAGTGTGATGAACATGTCTTTCAACAAAAAACTGTGGATTCCTCCTTTCACCACATCGCCTTCTAACCCTGGCACGACCATCGTGCATGCCTAAACAAAATCGAGAATCATCACTAAAGACAATACTGTTCCATTCCTGATCCCAGAGTGACCGTTGTCTGCACCACTCAAGGCGATTACGTCGGTGTTCTCGAGTTAAAGGGAGGACCCAGTGTGGCCGGTATGAAAACAAGCCAAAACTTCTCATTCGTCGGTAAACACTTCGCATGCCAATAGGTCTTCCGTGTTCTGCAAACCATTCATTTGCAATGGACCTGGTAGTGGAGAAACGGTCCCTTAAGGCCAATAATCTTAGGCGGCGATCTTCACGGTCTGTTGTTCTACGGCGGCGTCCAGAGCCCCTTGCTCTTTGCTGAAATATTCATTTTTAGAGCGTTAGTGAATTAAAAAAAAGCAGTATAAAAACCGGAATGTCCAACTGATAAGGCTGAAAATTTTTTCACTTGTTATTTACAGCAAGATAAATACATTCACCAACTTTTATTAAAATAAAACCATTTAAACTGGGTGTTCGCATTTATATGTCACTTAGTATAAATGGTCACTTTCTATTGGCATCTAGAAGAGAAATCAAATCCTATTGGCTGATTCCTTCAATGGTAAATAGAGAGGATTCAAATGATTTTCTTTTACATGTAGTAAATTCAAATACGTTGCTTCCACATGGGCCAAAAACGATTACAAACTGTATCGTCTTCGAAAAATAGATGTAAGTAATATACAAGGTGGGGCATAGGAACCAAGTGTTTTTAAAATAATAATAAAATTGTTTTTACCCTAAAAAATGTATTTGTAGCACGATATAGGTAAGAACAAAGCATTTTAAGATTTTCATGAATGGGAAATAACAGCTGGTATGTGATAACCGTTTTCATTGAGGTCGTTCTCGAAAATTTCCACTCTTTCCAGTAGATCTCTATTGATTAGACTAACTTCGTGACGAATCGCTTCCTTTAATGCATCTAACGTACATGGCTTGGTCTCGTAAACACGCGACTTAAGGTACCCCACAAAAAAAAGTAGCATGTGGATAAGTCAGGGGACTGGCGAGGCCATAAAATGTCACCAAACCGGCAAACAGGCTGCGAAGAACAGCCACAGATGCGCTGGCGGAATGTGCCGTGGCCCGATCTTGCTGAAACCACTAATCTTGCATATCCACATATCCCCACCTCTTCTTTATAATGCATATATGAAAAAGCTGTTAACCGTATTAATGTAACAGTCAGACGTTACAGTAGCGGTAACCCCATTTCCTTAAAAAAAAAATATGGCCCAACGACGCCAAATTTTGTCTCCGCGCCGCAAACTTACCTTAGGGCCGTAGGGCAGCAGCGGTGGCCGCAGTAGTAGACTCTTCGGTCTCCTGATCAGTTGCCGTGCGCTATGCGGGTTCGAATCCCGTTCCAAGAGAAATTTTTCTCTTGACTATGGATGTTGTGACTGTCCGTAAGTGGAAGACGGTCTCTGACTGTCGAACGCGGAAGTACCACCCGGCGGATCTCCTAGGCGGAGCCAGAATGTGTGCATGTTGCATGCACACGTGTTCCCTCACCAGGGTCCGTGTGGCGTTCCCCCTGTCCCCTGTATCCCCCTATAGCCCTACGGTGCCCAATGGGTGTTCAGGCCTTAGGCCTTCGTGGTAGTTGGAGTATAAAAAAAAAAGTGGCTTTTCATGCAATTCTCGCGGATTTTCGAATCTTCGGCGGAATTCACGTTATACTGCAGTCACCGACTCGCCACTCGAAACAAAACAATCGTAAGCGAATACGCTTTGTTCTAACGTCCATTGATCCATGGTTGCGACTGAAAGTTAAATGACGGCAACGCTTTTAGTCAAGAAATGGATTGTAACATGGTGTACACCCCTTTCTTTTAAAAACACTTGGTTCCTATGCCCCACCCTGACTTCAACAATTAAAAATGCAATTCGATCTAACCTTCACCTCATCTTGCAAAGACAAGAAAGCTCACCCTCTATTTGTATCACATATATTGTTCTATTTTTCCCGACTTGCTTCTGTGGACTGTTTTGTAGGTCTTTTCTTCCCGGTCTATTTGGAAAGAATTAGGTATTTCTAAAGCGTCGAAATTTCTTGTTCGAACAGATAGGATCAACTGAAGAAGTGTACGTGCAATTGGATAACCTCCTCCTGCCCGAAAAGTTTGCAAGAAACTTTTGAAGCTTTAAATCGTGCTCTGATTTCTCTCGGGATCCAAGGATCACCACAGCATCTTTACTTTACACAAAGCCGTTCGACTGCAGTAAAAATTTACAAGATAAATTATAATTATAACTTTCAAACATTGGCTCAATTTTGTTCACATTGACGCCTTTTTATTTAAAGCAGAGTTCCCCAAACTTTTTTGTGTCGTAGACCCCTTGCCATGTTTTTCCGTGTTGGGTCGACCCCCTGCTTACCTGATATTGATTTCCTGTAAATTTCTAACTGTAGTGAAGTTTAGTGTTAAAAACTTAAAGTAAAAACACATGTTAATTTATACATTTATCAATAATATTTTGCTTCATTGGTTTAACTCTGGCAAGAAACGCTGGTAAGATGGACTTTGTTTTAATCACTGTCGCCTTGTAATTGCAAATTAACCATATTAAATTTTGTAAACAAATCTGTTAAATAGGCGATGTCTGTTTTCCTCTTCATTAAATTTTCTTTTAAAATTCTATCTTTAGTATCCAGAAATTCTAAAATAGTCTCAAAAAGTGCAAAAAATCTTGTCAAACATAAGCCTTTCGACAGCCAGCGTACTTCAGTGTGAAGGAGTAATTGATGAAAGTGTTCGTCATTTTCTTCACCCAACTGCGCAAATAGCTGCGTATTCAACGCGTTGCTTCGGATTCGGTTTACTGCATCAATGACTAAATGAAGTGATTCATGCAATCTAACACTCAAATGTTTAGCAACTAAATTTTGTCGATGGATGACGCAATGATTGCTAACACCGCTGGCACATTTTGTTTTAAATAGCTTATAAATCCACGATAACGTCCAACCATGGCAGGTGCTCCATCTGTAGCTACTGATATTATATTTGATAAAGGAATTGCTTTTTCAATGAAGTAATCCTTCAAAACATGAAATATTGATTCACTTTTAGTGTCGTTATCAAAGTTCTTGCGAAGAGCAGTTCTTCGTAGATTTCTTGATTCATAATAAAACAAACATATGCCAATAATAATGCTGCATTATCAGGTAAAGTTGACTCGTCCAGTTGTATAGAGAAATGGGTCGTTTGCAAATAATTACATAAGAAGCTTTCAATATCAGAACTCATTTCATCAATACGTCTTTCAACAGTATTGTTGCTTAAGGGAATTCTTTTAATGATATCAGATGCAGGTTTGTGTAAAACAGTTTTTAAAACCTCTTCAACGGCTGGCAAAATTAAGTTCTCTCCGATAGTATACGGTAACGATAGTAGTAACGAGATATTGTAAGACGCCCGCAAACCATTATCATTTCTTTGTGACGTCGAAGCGAACATTCTGTCCAGTGTAGGTCTCTTCTGAAATTCATCTTAGAGTATTTGAAAGTATTTCAAATCTTTCTCTGCTTTATCAGGGTGGCATCTTCTCAGATGATCTTGCAGTTTATATGGTTTCATAGCGTCATTTGTTGCATAAAAGGCACATAGGCGATTGTTTGTTTGGCAATGATGGAATGAAGCCAAATTTCAAATAATCAACACTGTACTGTCTACATTTCTTTTTAGATTCGGACATGGCATCAGTCATCTGTGGGCAAAATTAAATTATTTAAATAAGACAGAAAATCCAGCAGCTGTATATTAAAAATATTTTTTGATTTTTCCGAAAACATTCCATAATTCGAACATCTTCTTGCAACAATTAGCTCGAATTACGGAGATTGCACTGTAATTATATTACCGATTGCTAAAACTGTTGAGGAGTACTCGTATAATTTTGCATGATTGAATATTTAACTACTAATAACTAAAGTCATGATTGGCGTAATTTATCTATCTTAGCTAACTACGAGTACAAAACTAAAATTTAATAAAAAATAATGTACTTACTTTTCTCCAGCACTCTCAAACAAAATAACACTGACTCACTATAATTTGTGTGATATACTATCTGTTTATATTTTTTAAAATATTATCTTAGCACTTTCCTTTTCAAGATTCAGGAAACGAATAAATGTATTTGTCCCACATTTGTATTTATAGAGTGAATATATATATGAATTGAACAAGTCAGTGCAAGGTAGCGAAGCTCTGAGACTGCGACTCTCAGGTTTTTACAAGTTCAAAATGTATTGCGACCACAAAGCGAATACCAACATCCTACAACTTACACAATTTTATAAACATATATAATAAATTTTTTACTTCATAGGTAGGTACTTTTATAAATAATGTATATGTTTTGATATTATAAGATAGTATGATGTAAGTAAATAGGTACTATCAGTGCATGTGTTGAGATCCACTATCGTGGACCCCCATATTCATTTCGTGGACAATTGGTAGAATTGACGCTCAAGACGCAACTTTTTATTCTCGCGGGTCAATAGTAGAATCAGGATGAAAGGACGTTTCTCCCTATCTCTTGATAGAAGCAACCTCGATTCGCTTAGTATGATTATTGACACACCCCGTTTATGTGTCACTATCACAGAGGAGGACCCAACGTATCCACGCGAGGTAGAATTGTCTCTGTTGCTGTGAAGCTCTAGGATACCTCAGGATGTTCCGAAAATGACACTAAAAGCATAGCTTTGAGAGGAATTAAGGCCCTATGTCACGATATAAAATTTTGTTCATAGTTCGGTACCAAATTTTGTGAAAAAATGCGTCTCTGAATTTAGTCCCCAATTTATTTACTAATTACAATCCTGCGCAGTCGGTAGAAAAAACTATAATTGTCAACCTCGAACTGCCATTGTGCCCTTTATTACGTGACAATTTTCGTTGCGGCTTGCTACGTTATTCCTTTATTACTTTAAACGAATACAAACAAACAAAGACAATTTTGCGAAAATGCGTAAAATAAATTGGAGTCGAAGTCATCTGGGACACCCGGTATGATGCTTCAGTTGCAGCTTGACTTTTATCGATTATTTTTAAAGACATTGTGTGTTGTCCAATTAACTGATTTTTTGTTTCAGTTTTTCCGTTCTGGTTGCAGAACGTAATGGGAATGATTTTTCAAAATTCGAATGTACAGTTTTATAGTGCCTCTGGATATTCCCTTTTTTAGTAACGGAAACAGATGTATTACATTACAGCACTGTAGCTGCGCCTTGCGTGTTTATTCCGTTCAAAGTAATCGAGATCGTTCTCGAACAGATCGATCACCGCAGTGTTGTCGCTGCTTGTGTTTATTATGAGAATTTACAAAATCTACGGAAGCCTCTATGACTTTTACACCTTTTTAAAATATGTTGTGAGCCACCAGAATTGCCTTTACGAGCTACCGGTAACTCGCGATCGACGGGTTGGCGACCACTGGGATAGAGCTTGAGAAGGTCCTACAGATGACCGTAAGCATTAGTACATCTCACGTTGTCTCATTCAATCGAGACTAGATGTGAAATGGTGCTATCGATATAAACATCTTGTTTACCATGCCACTCCAAATAACAAGTGAAGAAAGCGACGAAACTTTCAAGGGAAATAAACGTCCATCCGTGCAACGGGATCTCAAAATACGCAGCTATCGCTCTTGGTGCGCTCGCGGAACGAAAACTTCTCGACGTATACGTTGCGACTCTCCAGTATATCACAGTCTCTGTGCACGGCGGCGACGCCAACTTTGAGATTTATCCGTCTCCACTTCTAATGATGAATGTATGTTTGGAAAAGTTGAAAACATTAAAAATTAACGATAAGGCGGTTGGCGTTGATATACGGCAGTTCGACGTGTCTCAGTGCTCGCCGGGAGTTTGGGAGTTCGCTCGCATGCCGCCGCTAGCGAAGACCCACACACAGGGTTGCCAATTCTACTGGTTTTTCTGTATATCTATTGATATCGGTATAGTGATCTTTTAAGGCCCTTTATCGGTAAGTCAGTTTATAAATCTTTATTAGTGACGGTAGCTATTTCACTACCTGTGATTTAGTAACCGATATTTTTAAGTCACGAATAAAGACTGTTGCCAAATACCGTGGAAAGGCGGGACGTGATTACGACTTCAGGAACTAGGTGCTTTACGGCAACATCGAATGGCATCGTGGTATCACGGCGTTAACATTTGAATGTATGACTTACGTATGCGCTAACGACTACATGTGATTCCATCCCAGTATTTTGCTCAGGATTCCCATAATCTCATCGTTAGTCGAACGACGTGATCATGTCGCCGTTTTAAACCACTGATATCAAAAAGTAACGATATCAGATATCACAGATATTCAAAAATCAGCAATCTAATCTTTATCAGGTTTGGAAATAAGATTAACCTCTCATATCCAGCTTTTTCAGAAGCACTATTTACCTTTCGTCGGAATCATACTAAGCTTATATTTTGTCATAATACTTGACAAAAAATTGAATTTCTAAAATAAACACAACCTTACTAAAAAGTATATATACCTATGTATAATATTTTGATAAAGAAAGAAATATGAGGTTTAGTTCAATAGTGAAACTTGGTTTGTCCTATATTTCTAATTTTTGATATTTCAATCCGGAATTGGGGCTTTCTGCTTCAAGACAGATATAGACAAAATTAATCATTTGGACTCAGGTCAGATGAGCAAGTGAGTTCTCAATGAAAAACCTTTTCTTGTTGACTGTTCCACAATCTCGATAACCTAGGAACGAAGGAGCGGTCGTGTCGGCCAGTTCTAGGTGTAAAAAGTTCGACACGGTTAGGATGGAAGGCGGACGTCAGGTGGGTCTGGAGGAGCAAAGCCCATTGGCGTAGCGGTAGAAGAGAGCAGATCGCCGACGGCCCGGCGGTGCGAAAGGGCTCCGAGACTGTACGTTAGACAAGTCATCGATCAGTCCTCTGAACAGCATCGAGCATGGATGAAAAGAACTTCTTAGCCCTAAACATCTGCTCTAGCTTTTTCCTAGCAGCTGCCGCTATATAGAACGGTCTTTTTCCATCAAGGTACAGTACTGTGTTTTGGAAGCATGAAACTGTACGCAATGTTTGAAGGTACCCAATTAAAATAGGCACGGCTTGAAAAGGGACTGAAAACCATTACGCTATCTATGAGACAATAACAGAACCAAACACTCTCTTTTCAAATTGGATTTTTAAATTTCTGTTTGTGTTAGAATGGACATGTTTGCTTTACATCTCTCTAACCACGACCAATAGCAGACAGCGCTGTTTTGTGCGCATTAGAGACTCATCAGTGCAGTAAAGGTCTAGAAGTCCGTCTTCAGCACTACCAGACCTAGTGAGCACGAAACAGCGCTATCTGCAGTAGGTCATGATTATCGAGATGGCAAGTAAACATCGCTATTTCAATCGTGTCTATGAAGTTACGCATATAACGCCATTGTTGTTCTGCTATGTGAATACTTAGTATTCCGACTGCGTGACGTGTAGACCGTTTTGGTGGTGCGACATCTACCTGTGTATTGCGCAAAACGTCTAGTAGTTGCTAGTTAGGCATAGGTGTCTTCATTCAATTGCATCGTATGGAATGAGGATGAAGATCAGCTTGACAGGCTATTGGAATCGTCAGATTTTTCACCTACTTCTGAACTCAATTTTTGTGATCTGCTAATGGCTCTTAGATGGCGCTAGTTTGTTTCAAACCCCTTTTTGGACGCCGGAACACAGTATATAGTTGGTTATCTTCAGGTAAAATACTATAATCAATGCCTTGACTAAACAAACATAAAATCGAATGACAATATACTCTTACATGGTGAGAGCGACTAGAAATGATATCATCCATCATCTCATCATGATAAGATGTCATGTTATACTACAGAGACAAAAATTCATATGGCAACCCTGCTCACAGAGTGCCGCTCTGCCTAGTGTGGATGTGTTCCAATATTGGAACTTCTACGGATTTAGCAGGAATCTCACGTATTACCGAGAATTTTATATGAAATAGCTCTATGGGAAAAAGTAAAGTAAGCAATTTGATTTCCGCACTGACACTGAAGACATGTAGTATATGTGGAATATCTCTATAAATCTCTAACATTTTAAAATACGGATATAGGCATATGGATTTAGAAAATAAATCAATTCAATTAGGTTAGGAGAAGTATACGCCATTTTGGTAGAACGAGAGAAAGAGAATTTAAAAAAAGACAACTGAATCCCTGGAAAAAGTGGTGCTAAAGGCAAAATAATTCTTATTTTTGCCCAGATGTGTTACGATTTCACACGCCTATAAGACTCCTGGCTGCTGGTTCATTAAATAATATTTTCACTGTCCTACTTTAGATGAATGTCTAAATTTTATACCACATGTAAATAATATCAGTAAGAGTTGAATTTTACGTCAATTATATCTTAACAAACAATTTTTTGACTTTACAACTAAAAAAATTTTATGT